GATTTGAGAAGTTGGTATCGGGGGTGGGGGGGAGGTAGCTTCCCTAAACTTGGCATGAACCAGTGTGCTTCTGTTATACCAAATGCTTTGGAGCTAAATGCACTGGAATTAAGCCTTAGATTAATTCAGGAGCCTTGACATTGAGTGGTAGTGACGTTTTAAGTGAAAATAACTCTTCATTACTCTCCTTTACTCTCCATCTCTAGCAGTCTACAGATCCTTGGGTTTTCATGTGGGTGGGTTTGCATTAAACAAGTGTTTATCTCAGATTTCCCTAAAAGTTTTCTGTTCCTGGAGCAATGTAGACTACTTTCCTACATTCTGTGAGGCCAGGCTGGAAATATGAAGGAGGACTACGACTAGGCGATGATGTGGAAGCTGCCACCGTTATTCCCCCTTGTTAAATTTTAGAACTGCAACCTGGCAGTGAATAGGAGGCTGATTGGCTGTAACAAAGTGATGAATGCAAATGTTTGATCAAAACCATCATCAGGGAGCCATTAGTGTTGAGTATCTACCAAAGACTACATCCCAGCAGACAGTCTTATTCAAGTGGGCCTAGTGAAAACCACCTTCCCCAAGGGCTCTCCAAAACCTAAAAATAGCCCTTTGTAGAGCTATAATTTTATAATTGTAGACTACATTTTCCACACTCCCCTTCCCTCAGGCAGCATGCCTTCTTCTTCTAGCCCCAAAATGTAATGCTGTGTTGCAGATTGTCATACTAAACTGAATGAGAGGACTGTATCATTTTCCATAGCGTGAGATTTCATCTTTTTAAGGAAACTGGTGGGTCTGAGAGAAGGCTATGATAGAATCTTTTTCTTGGCACCTTATTTTCTATGTAGGAGACTGTGTATGAGTCTTTAAAGGATGCATATGTGAGCTCTCATTGTATGGTCAAGTATGGTACAGCCAAAGTAGAGCTTTGTTACTTTTGAGTGAAGCAAAATTATAGACTATACTTCTGTGATGAAGGGACATAATATGAACTATGGGGCAGCAATGAAATAATGGATCTTTTAATTTTGTCTCTGGCTGTATAATATTTTCATTAGACTGGTCTATTTGGTGCTGACAGTGGCCTTTTTTCGCATATGGCAAAGGCCTTTTAACATCTTTAAATAGTTTAATGTATCTCAATTTATTTTAAACCTGATGTTGAATCTTATATCAGTTATATTTTGTCAACTTTGTTGGTTCCCTTACTGGGAGTATAGCTTTTTTTAAAAATGATTTTATATTTTACTATTTTGGATTTTGTTTAATTTTATACCCTATTCACAAGTCTTTCATTTTTATTTATTAAATTATTTTACATTGTCTAGGAGGGTAGATTAATTGCTGAGCAAATAAGCATCAGTAGATTCAGGCCATGGATGGCTAAGGATTCAAGTAGATGGCTACTTTGACAAGCCTTTTTTCCCCTAGTGTGGAGCTGACGATTGCTTACTGAGCATATGCCTAGAAACTTTCCTAAACAATGGGAAAACAAACCTAAATGTTTCTAATATGGGTTTGGTAAGCTTTGCAGTGACACTGTAAAATAACCCAAGAGATTGCACAGCAATGCACCAGTGAAAATACTAATACTAAGACTGAGGTGAAGTTTTTTGTTTGTTTTTGCCCCAACGCCTATAGAGGAATATCCCAATACCAGTTAGCATCCTTTAGTTAAATTTTCTCATGCACCGAACTTTACAAAAAGCATTGTGGTTTTGGTCAATTTAAATGTTTCTAATGGCAATTAAAGAATATGCCAGGACTTTCTTTTCATATCACAGCTGAGTTTTACCACATCCCCAGTACAGTAAACTTTAATGATTTATTGCTATTTCTCTGAAAGTACTGTGATGGGTTCTGATATTACAATAATAATTGTGGTTGCTGTGGTTTCCATTCCTGATTAGAGTAGTAATGAATGTTACCAACAAATATTCTAATGTATTCAAGTGTTTCTGTGTCAATATGGGTCTAAAGAATCCCATTCCTGACTTAGGGGTCAAATTTTCTTACCCTCTTTTAGAAGTTTGTGTTTGCAAACTGTCTACAAAACTGACTTGCAGTCTCACGTTGCTTTGTATCTGTCATCACCAGAACATAGCTTCAGATGAGAGATCCACAATATTATTGGTGAAAACATGCCTCATAAATACCTGAAAATAATTTTCCTCAAATGCCCAAACCATATGTTATTTAGGTACTAGTTTGTTTTTTAAGAAAATATCCCCCTTTTATCATTTAACCTCAGCCTATCTTACATTATCCTCTTACATAGGTTAACCCCAAAGTTAGCATTTAATGAGTTTGTATGAATCAATAAAGTTATTATTACATACTAATGCAGAGCTTGTTTTGTGGTGGTGGTGGACCAGGTGGAACGGCCATTTTCACATGCTATTCAAGTCTGATTACTTGAGTTCCATCCCTAGTTCTTACAGGAAAAAAATGAGTATTTTACGTATTTGTTTTGGGTTTTTGTTATCATGATCACTGTTGTCTCTACTCTAATTGGGCATTCTATCAAAAATATCTTTACTCTCCCCAGAATGAGTTCCAAAATCTTTCTTCCCCCTCTTTTTTCAACTCAGTGTTTTGGTGTGACTGTCACCCCACTACAATTTATGTTAGGTTCTTATCAGAAGATTATTAATGAGCACCTACCTAGCCTAGGCTGCAATTAGAAAAACACTGAAGTTCTACTTACAGTCATATAAGTAGAAACACATGTACCTGTTATTCCAAGATGCTACTATAAAATGTAGTTTCCCTGGAAAATATGCTCTCAGAGGCATGTCACCGTTCCTTTATGAATATCCCAGCAGATTTTATGGAATGTGTTCTTGAAAAGACAAGATCACCTGTAACATTTGGTTACATCCTTGGCTAAGACTACCGTAATTGTTCCTTGGTTGTGTGTAGGTGTCACTGCAGGTCTGATTTGCACAAAAGCAACATTTTGAAAAGCTCTGTGGCATACCTTCATAGTATTTGCCTATTCTACTTGAAGTAAAATATAGAACAATGTGTTATAGGCAGAAAGTTAACAAAGGTACAGTTGGAAATGCTATTAATTACATAAAAATGAGTCACAAAAGTCAGGACTGGTGTGTGCCTAGATCTCTTCCCCTTTGTGACCCTGCTTTCATGCAAGCAGTACACTAAATACATCACCCCAAATGCGCTATGATTTATTTCATTACTGCAGTATAACATATTTGCATGAGCTGAAAGCAGAAGGATGCAGTTCCCCTTGAAAGAGCTAAAATATGCCACAGAAGATAGATCTAATGTGATGGTTGTTTGCTACTACATGATAAATCAGGCACAGTGGCTTTCTTAAAGGTTGAGTGTGTGTGTGTGTGTGTGTGGGGACACACAAAACCCTGAATCAGGATTTTATGCACCTTCTGAAGAATGACAGGCTAGCTCGCTAATGCTTCACCCCCTTTCCTCCTGCCATCTGAGAAGGAAACCTCGCCTTCCACTCATTCATTATCTGAGAGGAAAAGAAAATGCTGTGGCATATTGTCAGAGCTGCTTTATTGCTATCATTTAGAAAGGTCAGTTGAATTAATTGACTTCTCGCCAAACATATTGTTAGGCTCTCCCACATCCTGACATATTTGTGAGGAAATGACAGGTTTGCAGGAGAGGACTTTCCCATCTGATGTTTTGTTTTCCTGTGCCTTGTGCACTGCAGAGCCAGGATTAACTTTCAGGTTGGGGATGTATAGGAAAACAAGTGCTTTGGCAATGGAGGGGAGCAGATTTCTCCCTCTGATTCAGGTAGAAACGGAAGGGGAGAAGGGTGGCATGTGACTCCTCCGTTTCTTACCACAAACTGTAGATCGCCCATATGGAAACATTTTCATTTCCAATCCTTCCCACTTATTTTAGTATTCCATGGCTATGCCTATTCTTTTATTCCCTGGTTGTGAATTTAGATCTTTTAACCTTGCTCCTTTGAATGTGAGACTGCTCAGTACATATCTGCTGTTGGACTTGGAAGACACTGTTTAACATGAAGGAGTGTAAGGAGGTGTTGCTTACACTCGGTACATTATGTTCTCTTTCTACCCCCAGCCCCACCCCCACCCCTCAACCCAGCCTGGCAAATCTTTCCTCTGTTACCAAGTTTATAGGCTTTCTTTTTAATTTTACTGCACCCCGTTTTTGGGTTTTCCATCCAAATGACAGTGCTGGGCAAAACCAACCCCACCCCACCCCCCGCAACTTTAAAGCAAACCATGCTGAGCTTTCCTGAGAAGAGAAGTGAAAATATACTAGGGTTGGGTATACAGTGAGTGATCTAAAGCCACTGATTCCTTCCTTGGAAAATGCACTTTGAGGTATCATGCTGTGATCATTTTAATTACCACAGAAAATTAAAAGTCTTTTGATTAATGATATCCTTTGTACCTTGTGTGTGTGTGTCTCTCTGTGTGTGTCTCTGTGTGTGTGTGTGTGTAGGGGAGCAATTTCTACACTCCTTAAAATGTAGTCTGGCAGAAATTCAATAACTGTTTGTGATATTCTCATCCAGCCTTCGTGCTTGGTAGCTTTTAGGTCCCAGTGTGACATACAACGGCATTCGCTGTAATCCAGCTATTGGAAGGGGGTTAAAAAGATTGTCCAGCATTGCATGTAATTGGTTTCCAAACGCAATGACTAAGTGTGCCTTCCCATTTTTGCTTGGAAGGCAGCGAGCATCTGATCATTCAAACCTTTTGCTGTGCTTTTAGCTTCATAAAGCATCCATCTGAGAGTCCCTCTTGCCTCCCTCCCCGCAATAGATTATTGAGGATTTGGAGGAGGTAACATGTGGTTCAAAGCATACAAGGGTTCCTTTGTACTTCTGTTCCCAAACAGTAAAATAAAGGGAAGAGGAACAAGGGTTGATGAACATTCAAAGTTAAAAAAGAAAGAAAGGGAGAGGAAATGCACAAACAGTAAACAGCAGAGAAACACAACTGAAGATAAATAAATAAGACACTTACCCTGCAAGAATAGTTTCAGTCCTGGAATGCTCCTGCATATTTGGATTCCTTCGTGCAGGTAACCACATAGTGATGCTAATGCTAGTGAGCTAAGCTGATGCATGCACAGATAGTGCACCTTACGGTTGTCTTGATATATCCTGTAATATGAGGGAATCTCTGTGCAGCAGGCTACGATCTTTTACTTTTTCCAGAGCTCTGTTGCTGGCTGTCGGAAGCTCACAATCCAGTGAAGGAGGGGGAAGAGAGGACGAGAGAGAGAGAGAGAGAGAGAGAGCTAGAGGGAAAGAGCGGGGGGGGGGAAGGGATGCTTGCTAGCTTTTCTTCTTCTTTCTCCTTGTTTCCATGGTGGTTAGTGGTGCATCGTTCACCCGATCAGTTGTCACACTGACATGGTGCTGCCTGCTCAGCGGTCATTAATAACTGAACACCCTCCACTCCCCAGAGAGGAGCCAATAGCTTCGGAGTGCCAAAATATAGCACTGGCAGCTGCGCCAGCCTGGTTGGTTGAGACAACCTGTCTGTTAGATGACATTGCTGCTTAGAGTACAAATAGACGGAGTGACCCTTTCTGTGCTTCTTGGCATTCTTTCCAATACAGGGCAGGGACAGGGATGTGCTCTTTCTTCCCTCTGAACCAGTCAAGCATGTTTAATGTGTGGGATGTGCAAGAGGTGGAACAGTAATCAAAGTAAGCAATCAGAACTAGTTAAATTCCTTCTCAGATCGCACCATGGCTTGTTCTAGTTTATTGATTCATCATACATTTAACTAGAACTTTCCTATATTTTTCCTCTTTTAAACATTGTGCCTTGTAACATACATGGGGGGGGGTCCATTAACCCCAACTCCCAACATTTCCAATTACTTCCAATCTAAAACTTGGAATCACTAAACAAAAAGCCAAAAATCACCAGTGTAATTGGAAAGTAAATATACAACCATACCCAGAAAAGAAGAGGTTTCTTTCCCATATTTGGGTACCTGTTTTGTTGAGTTTTGTGGCTTTGGGTTGATATAAAGCAATAGAGCAAATCAGCACTCTTTCTTTCTTTCTTTCTTTCTTTCTTTCTTTCTTTCTTTCTTTCTTTCTTTCTTTCTTTCTTTCTTTCTTTCTTTCTTTCTTTCTTTCTTTCTTTCCTTCCTTCTTTCCTTCTTTCCTTCTTTCCTTCTTTCCTTCCTTCTTTCCTTCCTTCCTTCCTTCTTTCTTTCTTTCTTTCTCTCTCCCCCCCCCCCCCCGCTCCTGTTCTTCCAGGCTGCCATAGTCTGAAAATATACACAAATGGGTGGGTTTACAAAGGTATTCTTCAAACAACAATCTTCATCTTAATAATTTTGTATAAAATGTTTACATTTAAAAAGAATAAAGGAAATAAAAGCATATAATGATTTTGTGATCAACAGGTCAAATCTGAAGTAAAAAAAATGGATTTACTATACACATTCACTGATAAAACCCTGCTTTAAAGACACCACCCTCTAGTGGAATAAAATAAAATGGATTTTTCTTTTCAATATATATTTGACAATAATATGCAGTAATGGCATTAGGCATTTTCAGGGACTTACAATCCTGTGAGATTAATATTACAATGTAGCAAGGAGCTACTTCTTTTTACATATAATAGGTATACATTTAAAATGCTTACCTTCTAAAGGAAAAGAAAAAAGATCCTGCTTCAATCAAGTGTGGATGGCTGTATTATTACGTACTGTGTTCTGCTCTATTCCACGCATGGCATATTCTGATTACACTGGAACATTTCAGGATGATGTGTCAACATACAATTTTCCTACCAATAGGTTAAAAACAATTAAGATACTACCTTTGACCTTTTTATTAAAAAACGTTTCCATCACACTGAAGAAGTATGCTAATCTTGGCATTCAAAATTATTAGAATAATAAATTATTTAAAATAAACACACACACACCTGAATTATGGCATTCGATTAACTATTAAAAATGTAACAGCACAAACCTAAAATGTTTGCATAGGAGCACCTCCTGCTATTGCTTCAGAGGTACAGGATTGCAAAATGCAAAATAACTGATTGTGCTTGGAGTGGGGGACTGGGACAGGGTCCCCCCGCCACATTTTGGGCAGTGTGTCGGGGGAAGAAGAAGGCATGTGATTTTAGTATTTCTCCACTGCCCTCAGAAGCCTCTCATGTCTTATCCCCCCCCCCAATCATTAGCTAGACATCTACAGCCATAAAACTTTATGTGGACATACAGGGGACACTCTAATATGTCACCAGTGGAGCAGAATTCACAAAGCTTCCTGTGGCTTCTCAGTTATTTTTTGGCTAGCTTTGGGATTGCTCCCTAAAAGTGGTTAAAAGTTAAGTGCGTACAGGAATATTTTATATAGACATCAAATAAGAGGCTGGCCTTTCCCTCAAAGCAACTTTGTTGCACACGGTCAATAAAAATCACACAGACTTTACACCTAACTGAGGACAATGATTTGCGGTTTATAGAGAAAATATAAAAAACTAGCAAAGTAATTGTATGTGTGAACTGTGGACTGTACACTTAATTGCTGAAATTCAGTTTGCTGTTTAAAATAAAGTTATGCAGGACCAGCTTTGCTGGGTTTTGTACACAGTTTCCGGTCTAATAGTGTAATGTGCCAACGAAAGTGCTTTGTGGATAGCCCTTTGACCTTACGATTCTAATTACAGTGGACCCTCTACTTAAGGAATTAATCCGTATTGGAACGGTGGCTGCAAGTCGAAAAGTCTGTAGGTCGAATCTCCATTGACCTACAATGCATTGAAAACAGATTAACCCCACAACTGGCGGTTTTTATTCTATTTTTGTTCCATTTTGGTTTTTTTCTGGTCTGCAGGTCGATTCTCTGGCTGCAAGTCGAATCTAAATTTTGCAGCCAGAGAAGTCTGTAACTTGAAAAGTCTGTAAGTCGAGCCATCTGCAAGTTGAGGGTCCACTGTACCACCGCCCCAATGTCAAACTACGTTTGACTGTGGATGTCACTTTTAATGAATGATGCAAGATTATTACTACCTGCTTAAAACCTAGCTCAATTGAAAACGTTTATTATTCGGCTGGCATTTCCCCTCCAGAAGTATGCTGAGAGGTGTTAGCAAGTAATGAAGGAAATAAGATAATACAGCACCAAACCCATCGATTTCATGGACACCCCCCCCAGATGATAGCTAAAACTGAAGACGTTTTCTGCGCACATCTCAAGCTCTAAATATCAAACCATAAGAGGCTGAGATAAACCTATGGAAAAGAAAAACTACACACCTTGCTGAATAGATAAATACTGAAGAGTGTCTCCCACCAAGACAAGACTCTAGCTAGAACATCTGGAAACCAATTAATAGACTTTGAAGTGAAGTTGGAAGATCAAAGAATAATCAAGTAAAATGGGGCTAATTGGATAATGGACACATTTTCTTTGACTGTGGGGAAATTCAATCAATGCAGCACTTGATGTGTGTACAATATATGTCCCACCATGTGTACAAATGCTCTAGCAAATGACTGAGATAATGCTATTGAAGTAACCCACTTCTGGTCAAAAATACTCTAACATTTACATTTTTAAAATTGTACTTACATTTTATATACATCCAGAATTTTAGACTGTGCAATACTCTGGTAAAGGGAAAAAAAGCCATGCAACAGGATTTCAGCCATTAAGTTTTGGTTGATTGCTCTGGACTGTGTAATTGGAGGAGTAAGTAGTGAAAGTTAGCTGAATAGCTCAGTGAGTTAAGTAACTGCCTGTGGAGCCAGAGGTTGGGAGTTCACTTCCCTATTGTGTATCCCAGAAGAGCCAGACTTAGTGGCCATGGGCAAGATGCACAGTCCCAGGATGCCCCCCCCCCCCCGGTAGAAGAGAATGGTAAACTACTTCTGAGTACTCTCTACCTAGAAAACCCTGAAAAGGCTCATCACAAATCAGAATCGACTTAATGGCACACAGTTATTATAAAAAGTCAAAACCAAGTCAAATACACTTGCATACAGGGAATAAGATGTGAGACTTCCAACTGTTATACCTTGCTTGAGTTATAGGTACATGCAATGATTTTTAAGGATAATTTAAATCATGTCCTTCATCATAGATAAATATTTTGAATTTTGCTATTGTTTTAAAGGACTGAGATATTTCTGAATGCAATTATTAAAGTTCATTAGAGGTTATTTTCCTGCTGGTTTCACCATGGCAATTCGTGGTGTTACAAAAGTAGGGCTTTCTATTATACTGGGTTTATATATACATTTGTAGGTTTGAACATACATTGAGATTGCTTATAGGAGGATTTCTGAGTGAGCTTATCTGGAGGTTTGGGACTGAGGTGTCATCTCTTGTTTCACAGAAGAACATAGCTGTTTTACACAGACTTAGGCCTTTCGTTCATTTAGTCCTGTACAAAGAACTCTGATTGACAGTGGCTTTAATGAATTTCTGGCAGGATCCTTCCCTGCCTTTACTTGGAAATGCCTGGTGATCTCCCATTTAATTACTAACAAGGCCCAACCCTGCTTAGCTTCTGAAATCAGATGTGATCATCTTTTCATTAAATACAGATGAAGCGGTAGAACTGCTAAGTCAACAACTTTGTTGTGGGTGGAAAACCCAAAATGTGTGTGTGAGGGGGAGCTTATTGCTTTGATCTCCACGCCAAACTACTTTGTCTGACTGCCAGTTGGGCTATGATCTGACATAATACACAGTGTTTACTTTTTTTATTTTTTTAATCTGCTGTGTTTAGAAGTGAAGTCAGTTGGGCAACACACACTTCAGAACTCTTGTGCATCTCAGATGCTGCCCTGAATATACAGATATTTACGACAGCAACAACAAAAAATATTAAAAAGGCCCATGTTAACACTGCTAAATGTGACTCCAACAGTTTCTCAGTAGCTAGCAAAAATAGTTCTTATTTTTCACATTGTATTCTTCCTGATTTCTATTTATGTCCACCTAAGGACCTGGATTATGGAGAAAGCCAGAGAGTTCCAGAAAAACATCTACTTCTGCTTCATTGACTATGCAAAAGCCTTTGACTCTGTGGACCACAGCAAACTATGGCAAGTCCTTAAAGAAATGGGACTGCCTGACCACCTTATCTATCTCCTGAGAAACCTATATGTGGGACAGGAAGCAACAGTTAGAACTGGATATGAAACAACTCATTGGTTCAAAATTGGAAAAGGAGTACGACAAGGCTGTATACTGTATTGTCTCCCTGCTTATTTAAATTATATGCAGAATACAGTGGGGTCTTGACTTGCGAACTTAATCCGTATTGGAAGGCGGTTCGCAGGTCAAAAAGTTTGCAGGTCAGAATCTGCATTTCCATAGGAATGCATTGAAAACCATTGTATCTGC